GAACTTTATCTTTATTGAAAATGTTGATGATAGACTTTGTTTCGAATCCTTCTGTTGCGAGAGCATCTTTTATGTCCTCTATGGGTGTAGAACTATGAAGCCCTTTAATGACGACGACTAGTCCTTTTTAGCTCTTGATCTTGATTGAGGTGTAATAATTCTTCTCAGAATCCAGAGCACGAACTAGGTCCTTATGTGACTCAGTATAATTTTTTTTTCGTCTCTTGGAGATTTCCTCTCTTAAGAGATACCACTTGTAAATTAGGTTTACCCAATATTTGGGAGAGTTTGTTCACAAGATTGTTTGTAGTTTCTTCGCAAAGATATAGTGGGGGAGGTTTTTGGGATCTAACCAGTTGTATCATTTCATCAGTCTCGTTATTCGAGCCGAGAATTGACAATCTGTTCTTACGGTCTTACTTTTGGGTTTTAGCTTTTGGTTCCTTGGTTGGAGTTCTAGAACTAGCCTTTCGCTTTGTTACTAAGACATATCGGTCCATGCCTGGAGGAACTTTGTTTTGCTTCTTATTTTTTTCAAGAGACGCATACTTACTTAAAGCGATAGTTTCTTGATGTACAATCGCATCGTGTGATAGCACCTTTATAGAATCTATTTTGGGCGAGTTTACATTGTTTTGTTTATATGACATTTCTCTTGTTTCGTTGGGAGTAGTCTCACCTGGCAAGTTTTTGTCATGAAAAACTCTCGGCGATGCAGATTTAGAACGGCTCTGGTGTTTAGCTGTAAGATACCTGCTTTCGTGGCATTTTGGCGAGGTTGAGCTGAAATCTGTCGACGTCAACTTAAGGAATACGTTTTGCCCGTTCTCACTTACATTTCTCTCTTCCATATGACTTGTTGTGTTAACACTATAACAAACCGATTTATGTGATTGGGGAAAAATAATAAATATTACCATCTTTCTCCAATAACAAATATGCCTTCTTGTTACGAAAATAACAATATAAACAGCACGATCTACTCCTGTATCAATTGTGTACAATATTAACGGGTACATTTTAACTACGGTATCCCAAATAAAATGTCAACACTGTTCTATTAATGGACAAGTCACCGTCGACGAAGGGTTTTTGCTGTAACAGACAAAACTAACTTACATGGTTATGCATATTTCGTTCAGGTTGTGTAACGGTTGTAAAATTTAGAGGAAAAGCCGAAATAATTTAATTTTTTTGTTTCTCTTCTATTGAGTTTACGATCGAAATTTTCGTACAAAAATCATAGGAGAAATATATATAAAATTAACAATAATGGGATTCAGCCTATTTTGCAACAACAACATAATTAAAAATGTTTTATTTCAAAATAAATAGAATTTTTACCATTACCCATAAAGGTAACAGAATTCATAAACCCTGACATTGAAGTGGAACCAGATTAACAGTCTATAAACAACACAAAAAAGATTAATGTTACAACAACAACCATACCTGAGGATGTTCCATTGGGTGGCATTACCTTACCACCCAACCTGTTCAAAAACCATTATGTATGGCTCTCGACGTTGTGCCTGAAAATGTTTTTTTTACAATTAATTGTAAAAGAATTGAGGGGTGAGAGGGCATTTATTAAAGAATTTCTGGGGAGATCCGACAATTTAGCAAATTTGCTTCTAAGATCAGACTCATTGCCCAAAAGAAACTGAATAACTATTCTTGCATTGGTTGGCAGAATTTAAAGAGCCTTCCACAAAATTAACCCAAATATTACAATACTTGTTTTTATTATAACTAATTAGCTTTCTCTAAGACTTCGTTGAAAACATCTATATTAAATAGCGAAATATCAAATATTTAGAAAAAATCGTGTTTGTAAAAAACGTGTTGGCATCCTTATTGTAACTGATGGCACTCTATTGATCTAAATGATTTTTCTCATATAGAGTTTATTTGGGTTTTCATTAATTTGGTCAAATTGAAATTCCTTTTTAACTTGTTATTATACTCCACCCTCATTATCACAATCAACATTATTCAGCAATAAATTGTTAATCACTGAAAAAATTAAAGATTCATATTGCATTTTGATTCTTGGTGATTTTAATATGCCTTCCCTTAGGCGGCTTCTGATGCCTGAAGCTCTGAATCCTTGCCCGAAGTTAATAATCGATTTTGTAACATCATCTTCTTTATATATATATATATATATATATATATATATATATATATATATATATATATATATATATATATATATATATATATATATATATATATATATATATATATATATATATATATATATATATATATTATATATATTATTCCGTCATGCAGCCACTGTTCGATTTGCTCTTCTACAACATGTTGATCGCTGAGAGGAATTCTACGAGGTCTCTGAAAAACTGGTATATCATCGGACAAAATGATCTTCATTTCGGTTGGCGATGGCTGAATTCTCTTTGGTTCGTAAGAAGTTACTATTTCTCTTACTTTATGGCTATTTTCTTTACTCAAATGCCCTAAATCAACATTTATCTTATTCGACTTTAATGTAAAACAAAGAGATTCAAAATCATCTCCAAGTTGCGACAAAAACCCATCACTTCCTTCATCCCTAGCCTTATGCTGTTTCCTCAATGTTGCGCCATCTGACGTCATTTCTATATCAACATATTGTAAAATATCATTTCCAAGCGCTGCTGTGTAAACAAAATTGTCAGCAATAAAAAATTGAATCCTGAGGTCAATATTGTCTACATTCACATTTGCATAAAAATATCCCACCGTTACGAGGGTATAATCTCCGGCTGTTGTGAACTTGCGCTCTTCTTTTGTAAATTCTAATATGTCCAATTTTTTGAAGATGTCTGTGCGAATAATAGAAATATCGCTACCCGTATCAATTATAGCTGAACATTTTATGCCTTTTATATTTAGTTCTTTAAAATTGCGATTATGAACAGGCAATTTTATTTTCTCAACTACATTTTTAACTTCTTGGTGTGCTTTCTTTTTTTACATGAATTTGCTTTATGACCTGATTCCCCACATTTAAAACATATTATGCTATTATCCTTACAATCGTTTGCTAAATGACCTATTTCTCCACACTTGAAACACCTTTTTTGCATTTTTACTTCACGAGATACATTTTCCTCTTTGAACTTCGGAGTAAACTTTGAGGTTGTTGCCTGGTAAGTTGGGCCCCTAATTTGTTCGTATATGTGCATTTTTTCTTTTAAATCGCTTATTCTTTTGGCTTGATATAGGATACTCTTTCCTAATTTTGAATCTGGAATACCCTCTATGAAATATTGCATGATACTCATTTAATCGATCGAAATTGGGATTCCTATCTCCATGAGTGCGTGTAGATATTCCCGAAGACTCTCTCCATTTTTCTTTTTGCGGGTTTTCAGCAATCTATGTACCTCAATACTGGACAATGTTGTACCAATCAATAATCAACAGCTCTTTCAGTTGGAACCAATTTCGTATACGTGAGTTGCATCGAACAAACATTCGAGCTGCACCTTTTTGCAATTGTTTACAATAAATAAATTTTTGTATGTCATTCCAACCTAAAGTTTCTGCATTTTCTTCAAAGTCATCCAACCAATGATTAATATTAATACTGTCTGTACCTGAAAATGGTGTAAATGAATCTTCTACATCTCTTAATGTAAAAAGACTTCTGCACTGTGCTGGCTTGGGTACATTACATGAAGCGGCGTCATCGCAGTCCGATTCTGAATTATAAGCAACAAGTTTATAATGCTCTAACAGTCGTTGCTGCAAATCCGCCCGATTTCCTTCTGATGTTAAGCTCAATGTTTCTAACTCGTTTTTTAGGTCATTTAGTGTCATACCTAATATTGTCTTTATGTCCATACTGAATATTGTAATGTTTAAACTTGAAATGTAAAAATATAATATGTATGTTATAAAATTATTAGAAGGGAAATTCAATTTTCTTAAATATATAAACTCTTCAAAAGTAAGATTAAACTCTGAATAAATTAATATTTACACATACACATATTAATATTTACACATACAATAACAGTAGTTCTCAAACTATATACATATGATTTTCAAACTTAAATATGATTTTCAACTTTAAAACCTTCAAACTTTAACAATAAGAAATTTTAATAGAAATAGAGAATTCTCAAACTGCATTTGCAAAGCTAGTACTTTATAGTTTGGGAGCCACTAAATGCAACTTTTAATTTTAAAGCTTTAGCAAATTTTCAAACCAAGTGTAATACTGATTATAGTTCCCAAACATTAAAGCTTCTGTACTAAACTAAAACTTTTAGGGATATTTCACGTCAACTTTACAAAAAGCTTTAGAACTTAACTCAAAAATTTAAATTTTAAAGAAATCGTTAAAGAATTTAAAATTAAAATTCATAGCTTAACTTAAAGCTCCAGACACGCCATATTTTCCTCGTCTCGAAAAATTGTTGAAAATTTAAAATAAAAAAGCTTAAAGCTGCTACCACGCCATAATCTCTCGCTTTCTCTTTCGTTCTAAAGCCTTGCATTTACGCCTTCCACTCTGTGTGATAAAATAAGGTTTGTTTTCACTCACTGATTATTTTTGCTCTCTTGTGCTTGGGTGCGATTGCGTTGTTTTTGTGTGTATATTGAAATGATCAATAGTTATTATCAATAGATGTATGACTTAATGGTCATTACTATTGTGTTATTGTGCAAGCACCCACGCTTTTATGTTTCACTTGCGTCTTTATGCAAAATGTTTCTCAAAAAGTTTGGGAGCCACTAAATGCAACTTTTAATTTTAAAGCTTTACCAAATTTTCAAACCAAATGTAATACTGATTATATATATATATATATATATATATATATATATATATATATATATATATATATATATATATATATATATATATATATATATATATATATATATTGCAAAGTGTTCCTTCTTCACATACGCTTCTGTATCTTCACATAAATACAATACGGTGATACCTTTGACAAAAAAAATTAATATTGTTCTCTTAC